TGGACGCAGTCCTGTGCCACGTGCTCTAGGTGACCCTGCGTGCGCAGGGGGGTTGGACTAGGTGACCTCTAGAGGTCCCTTCCAACCTTAAGCATTCTATGATTCTATGAAGAAAGGCAAATAAACCTCTCTGATTTAATTGCTTATTTCTCGTTTTCTAACAAGCTTAACAATTTTGAAAACGCAAATGATTATTTTTAAGTGCTTCACCCATCAGCCACACAAGTACTGGTATTCTCACATTTCTTCAAATAATTTATAAAATTAAAATTATAATATATATGAGTATTTTTACTCAGACATTATATATTAATATGCACAAAGAATACATTATAAATTATATGAAATTGTTATATATGCTAGCATATATGTACACTAGTTTGACTAAGTATGTGTTTTTTTAATTCTTCAGCAGATTGCCCAGGGAGGCAACATTTTTCTGTAGGAGTCCTAAAGACAGGTCTGTAGTAAGAAATCTTGGCAGAATAGCAGTGTCAGGCCTAAGTTAATGATTTTTCTGTACTGAACAGCTATAGCATATGCACATATAGTGAAGCATTTTTGCTAGTTCCATGGTTGGAGTAACCTATACTGACAGGAAAGAAATCTAGACATGATATATCAGCAAAATTTTCAAGTGGCCTGTTTTCAAATGCGTAACTTTCTGTTGAAAGAGACAAATTTGCCCTGTGAGTATACAGTTCATGACACACTGTTTTCATTGTGTTTAGAAATAAAACATAGTCACTTTCCCAGTGTATTTGTAGCATGTGCTTGTTATCACCAAATACAGAAATCAGCCCTTTTTTTTTCTGTATGCCAATGGTTTTGTATTTGTTAGCATGATGAAGCCATTCCTGTATTATTGAAATCAGTATTTTTGCCCCTAAAGATAATAGAAAGAAGGCTAGCACTCATTTATTTCCACTCAGGATAAATCATTACTCCAAATTAGAATGCAGTGCTTATATTTTAGAGTAGCTTTACCTTTATCAATATGTTTTTCTTTTACTTGGCAAAAGCATATTCTGTGTTAGTAAAATCTTTTGTGTGTTGAGTTCTTGGACTCTCAAATAAGTGAAAACAATAAGATTTTTCTCGTAATCAAGATAAATAATTTCTTTCCTCCAAATGCAAAGGTGAAGACATATTTTCCTCCCTTGTTAGGAGTTAGATACTGAAGTCAGTCAAATTATTATTTATTAGTGAAATATCTGATTAGCCTCTTTACCTCAATTGTAAAAAATGGTAAATAGAACCAGATGGCTTTCCTTGGTGTTAACACCAATATGTGAAAATTAATTTCAGTTTAATCTTGATCTTTTAGTTATATAGTAATTTAACATAGAGAGTGAGGGGAACCTAAGGGAACTAGAAGTGTCTACTCTTCGAGTTTACACTGTCCATCAATATGGTCTGTATAATTACAAATAATATAATTCTTGTTCACTTTTACCACGTGGGAGAGTCTCTTCGGGACAAAAATAAAAATAAAAGGTTCAAGAGAATTTGCCTACTCTATTATGGCAAAATTCAATGAGACACTCTGAGCAAGAAGAAACCAAGTGTTAGTATCAGAAGCAACATCATATTGGTGTTATATTGCATTATTGTGTCAATTAACATGAGTGTAACGTTGCAATGCCGCTCTTATATTGTTTCTTTACCCCACAGACTATTTCTGGGCTGCCTTTGAAATATTTGCATAGCATTGAGTTTTGTCAGATAGGTAGAGCATTACCAACTGATAGCCTTCTTAAATTCCATTTCTCACAAGAATCACTTACTTAGGAAGAAATTTTAACAGATTCAACATACACACAAAAAAACTTTTCACCAAAGAAGCAATGTGTGTAGCCTATGACATGCCTCAAAAGAAGCACTATTAAAGGCACAACCACCAACCTATCCCAGTGGAAACTAGAGCGTAATTATGGTCTTGTCTGGCAAAATAAGGAATTCTTAATGCTATAGAAATTGAGAAGAAATCACATAAAAAGAAAAGGACATATGGAAAGCAGTACTTATAGAGGGTAGTGTGAAGGACTAAAATCGGGATGGCTGTAGTGTAACATGAATTAGCACTAAGAAAATATTTACAAATGCATAAAGGAAAAGGAAACCTGTGAAATGTATTTCCATTCCTGAAAAGAAGAACAAATAATGCAGGTCAGAGAGAAAGCTGGAGATGACCACTGCACTATTCTTTGGTCTTCCTGGAAAAAGTCATTTTTCTCTTCAGGTAGTCAGCAGAGTTTTTAACCGGGGACCGGAATTTAGAATAAAAAAGAAAATAAGAGATTAAA